CATGCTACAGTTAGCAAACTGCTCCCATGTTATTACGCTGTATCCATATAAATGGCCCCTCCCTGTAGAGTAAAGTGGGCATCTACAATTCCTCCCCTCAGGCAGGAGGCTCCGGTCCATTCGCACCAGCACCTCTCGCCATAAGAACAGCTTCTTCCCCTCTGCTGTTGGACTCATGAACAATATCCATATGACTGTTGGCACCACTAACACATGACCCTACACTGTGTTCACTGCATCATTCCATGTTTGGCACTGATCACCACCTGCACTCATGTATATATCTATCTACTTAGCACTTTTAATTTTTATTTTTATGTTTATTTAAGCGTTATATGACAGTATGTTTGCACTAAGTACCGCAGCAATTTCTTAATGTTGTAAACCTGCTCAACATTTGGCAATAAAACCCTTTCTGATTGTGATATCACAAAGAATCAACTTTTCTTCTGTGGTTGGCTTCACTGTGTGGTTGAATTTAGCACAACTGTAGTACTCCCCGACAGGACACTTGCGCTGCACTTTGCTAAACGCAGGTGGGAAACCGTTATTGTTTGGTGCACGTATAGAAAACATTGGGTTTCAGAGTGCAGTGCATGCCCCGTCCTATGTGAAAGGGCCATGACAAGATGCTTCATACCTCTTGAGGTCTTCAGGCTTCCCCCATCCCCCAATGAAGAGTTTGGTGAGGAGCAGCCTTCGGTAGAATACATCCAGTCGGCTCACACCCATGGACCAGCCCCTGGCATCTACAAAGAGAAGTACATGCTTTATTCTGAAAGTGCTTACTTCCTGTAGGATTGTTAAGAACAGAAAATAACAAAAAAAAAAGTCAGATGCTAATACATCTTTGTTTGACAACTGAGCAATATACCTCCCCCAAAAAAGGTTAAACGAGTCGCTCTACGAACACCGATTCCCTTTGAGTCAGTCGTGTTCGGTCAGGACAAGCAAGGCAGGAAGTGCTTGAATGTCCAATGTAAAAATGAGGATACATGAAGACAAAGGAAATTTCAAATCTCACAGGAAACAGTAGTTTGCATCTGTTTTAAAAGCGTGTCTTCTTCACAGTGATAACGGCTGGAGCTCAGTAAGCTCAGAGGCCAGCAGTGTTGTTCTGGTGGTTTGTGCTTGTACATTATGGATAAACCACTGGTCTATGACAGTAAACTGATGGGAGAGCAACCTGCGAGACAAGCTGCCAATGGGTCTGCTTTCACTGTCCTGAGATCAGTTATGACTAGTGCTTGGTAAGGAAAAAAAGCTAGCATTAGCAAGTAAATAAGCTTTAGTGATTTAGCATCGTAATAGACACGTTTCTGTTTGCTAACCACTTGGCCAACATGATGCTAAAGGGTGAAAAAGTCGTTAACTCCATTAGCTGACCATTATCGAACGTTGGGTGTAATAACACTGGAACACTGAACACTTATATAGCTGCTTTGCCAACACTCCTAATTCTGTTTTTTATTCCTATTTTAATTTCTCCTTGAATATACAGACAGCTAACCATGTCTGCTCAAACCTTTTAATTCAGGTTATTATATTGTTAATAATAATTTTTGAAAAAGACTTTGGCCCGTGTGTGACTGATTTAGGATATTTTCAGTGGAAAATACATTGAGGTTCAGACTCTGCCAGCATTTAATGGCTGAATGTTAACTTGTGAACAAATTCAACATAAACAGTTGAGCGTCCTGCATTTAACAACTCGCTCTGAAACACATTTCATCCCATTTAAGTTTAAAATAACTTCAGCCTAGTCTTCACTCAAACATGTGCCAGTTCCCTAATGTGACAGACCTTTTCTCAATCAGTGTGACTGATTACAGCATGAATGATGACTGCAGGAAAACTGGCTGACATAAGCATTATCATCTACTGAGGCAGGGTTAGAAAGATGGAAACAAAACATTTTATTCTTAAAAAGTCTCTGTACATATGAGTGAATTATTGTAAAAGCAGTTATGTTAAGTACAAAAAAAGCAAACCAGATATAACAAAATAGCAAACTGCACTTTGGCAGTGACTTTATGAATGAGGAAAGAGTGTCAGAGAGCTGGTTCAGGTGCAGCAGGAAGGGATAAGTCAGGAAGAAAATCTGCCAGCGAGTATGTTACGTTCACATAGTCTGTCAGTCACCACCTCACAGTTAACAGACTCATTTTTAGCTACCTTCCTGGAGTAGGGCCCAGATCTCAGCCCAACAGAGTACATTTAAGATGTGACAGAACAGAGCTGCCAAGTAATCTGAAGGATGATGCAGATCTCCCATTACACTACTCTGATGAAACGTGTCACATTTCTCTTCATAAAGTGATATTTCCCCCGGTTGGTTGTATTGCCATTTGAAACTGAGCAGATATAAGAACATAAACAAATATATATTTCATGTGACTTCTCAATTCTAGCTCCTCTCGCGAGATTTGACAACACTGACCTGAGCAGAGGTCGTCAGGGAGGTCTGGCGGCTGACTTGACCTAAAGCTTGATTAGTGCACATTTCTAACAGCGAGCCTTCAGAGAAAATACTTCCTCCACATACTCGGATCACAACGGCGCTTTAGTTTTATGATAGACAGTCAAATCAGAACAAAACTGTCAGTGATGTACGGTACAATGACGGGGTGGCTCGTAATTTCCATTTCCATGCATAATTATCACCTTTGTTACAGCATAAAACGCTATATTGTCTTCCACTGGTTGTTGTAGGTAATAACTGTAATAACAACACGCTGACAATATAACGCAGAGACCAGCTGTACGACGGACACCGCCACGCTTCCAACTTGCTGCTAGCTGTAAGTTAGCAAACTTCGCCTTAGTCATTCATTAGCGCGTTTCAGGCCCTGCTAACACAGACAGGCTGCGTTTGATACAGATAGAAACAACAGCACTACCTCAGTCTGTACCCGAACGTATATCTCTGGGTTTGCTCGCACGGCCAGTCGAGAGCTAAGGAAGCCAAATGTAGTGACTTCGTCAAGCTACTGGGAGGAATGGTCGCAGTTTAAAGGAAAAAAAACAGTCGGAACTTCCGGTGTTCCAGATTAAACGGTTTTCACGTTGTCTGCTGTTTGTTAACGGTACAACCTGTCATAACAAGCTCCACGTTTTCAGTTTCAGATTCGCCACATTTTCAGACATTTTCGGAAGAAATTTAATTTTAAAAGACTCGTGTTTAGTTCAGAGTATCAAACATGACTTTTTAAAGATAGAAATATTTTTTTAAAAATCTGTAAGATCATTATTGTTATTATCGATAAAAATGAAATAAAAATAAGCGACTGTTCCCCGGACCATCAGAACCAAAGTTGGAAAAATGATCTGGGAAGGTTCCCACACCTTCAGCTTCGCCTCCTCTCAGCCTCTGACGGACCAGCCAAGGCTGCGAGTGCAGCTGTTCGTGCCAAACTCGGTATCCCCGACAGAATTTGTT